GATCATATCAGGTCATGCGTAAGTTGGTAAAAGCATATATGCTGTCTAAAGAGAAGTTTCAAAATCTGATTTGAAATAAAGTCACTCTTCCACACGAACATTCATGCAATTGCAAGCTGTTTTTTCATCTCTTGACCATGTTTCCGACATGGCTCAAGGATTTTCTAAGTGGGGGATCCATAAAAAATATTTGAAAGGTCATTAAAAGTTCATAAACATTTATTACAAATATAATAACTTTAAAAATTAAACCATAATTCTATTGTTCATAATTTATAGAATAAAGAACAATATGAGTTATAATTGTCCACGACAAGTTTTCATATTTTCAAAACGCTGCATTATAACTTCATTATCAATTAAAGAAAAAAACATTGCTCTCAGTATAAACAATCATGTTGTTAATCAACTATTGATCCTCTCATTCGGTTACGCAATAAGTTTTTCACAATGTTCATATCGGAAAAGGCTCTTTCTACTAAAACAGTAGCAACTGGTAAAATCAAAGCCAATGTAAGCAGCAAATACACAGAGTTAAATACTTTGTTCTTCCCCGTTTCCACTCTCCACCATTTTTTTGCAAGACTATCAATTCCTTTCAAAGAAGATTCACTACTTGAACGCATATCAATAATATAATGGCCAAGTTAATGTTTTTAATAAAATAAAAAGAACGGTAACTCCTCTTTGAGGCATTTTACCAAGTTGTTGGAGGACATGTATGAAAGACAACTTCAACATTCAAAAGGTCAGCACCATGTCATCTATAGAGATTCACCAAAGTTCGGGAGGTCACATGACCCCCATGCCCCTCAATGGATCCGCGAGTGTTCGTAACACTTTGTAATTAGGCTAAGTTTTAATTTATATATCGTATGTATATGATCATTAACAATTAGATAACATAACATGTTAAACTCTTTTAAGTTTGATTCGAATTTTAATTTTTCTTTGTTTTCCTTTCCATTGCGATCATCTTAAATTGGCACATTCATTTTATTCAATTGTAATATGTTACATACATTTGGTATTATATATCCATTACTGCAATATTATGTCCTATAGATATCACTTAATTTTCATACATAAATATGACAGTCTTAGCTTGTGTTATATTTTATTTGTTTGTTTGACTAAGAACCCAAGGGTAGTCCCAACTCCCAAGTGAAAGTTGTAAAACTATAATGCTGCCTTGCATATATGCGTGTGTGCGTGTGTGTGTAATGGAAGCTTTTAAGGGAAGAATTTTTATTTTTTTTTTAATTTATAAAAATAGCAATTAGTTGTGGGGTTCAAGCCACATCAAATTTCAATTATCTTAATCGTTTTTTTTTTTTTCAAGTTGCATCCATAGATCATCTTTGCAATATATTAGCCAAATTGAAAATAATTGAGGCGTCTAATTGAGTTTAAAGGAATTGATGCACACTTTGTTTTCTAAGAAATATTGAAATTTCATCGTGATAATTAAGTAGGCAAACGGTTTCAGATTTAATTGAATTTTTGCAAAGATGATCTATGAATCGAGACTAACGAAATAGATGTTTAGATAATTGAAATTCAACGTGTAGTTGGCATTATAACTAATCGCTATTTTTATCCAAAAATAAAAATTTATTTGAATAAAGAGCCTGCGTATGTGGGTCCATCACTCCATATTCCTATAGGAAATATCTTTACTTTGAATACAAAAGTAAACACATTTTTGTGTCCTTTGACGCAAGATCTAGAGAAAATCTCACATGATTTCTGATGAAGGAAAATACTGGAATGATGGTCAATAACATCGCATCCTCTTAGTCAAAGCAAGTAAAAGACACTTTAAGAACAGTATATATATGGACACAATCAAATCTTAGGACGACGAATTTCTAAGTTGAAAGACAGAAAAAGATGGCCAACAAACACGCTTTGCTTTTTTATAAATAAGTGTGGGATTTAGGATTTCTAGTTTTCTAACATGTATACATATACATAGGGCTGCGTTTAACCGTTTGACAATGGTATCTTTGACACAAAAGAACGTGACCAAAAGTTGATGATTAGGGTATTTGTGACAGAAAAATTTGGCTAATACACTAATCGTGATCTTTTTTATGGATATTTATGAGATGGACCCACATATGCCAGTTAGACGTTCATGCAAATAAGCGTTGGAAATTGAATAGCTCTTGGCATTACTATTGAAATTAGAGCGATTAATGCAAAACAAATTGTCAACAGCAAACATGTGCTCGTGGCACAAACGTAGTACTACAAGTTGAGGTTTTCATGGCCAACAAACCATGCTCGCTGCTTTGGTGATGAGTTGTCTAGTTGCAAACATCAATAATCAAGAGTGCCTTGTGGATATCTAGCTTAAATATGTAGTGCATGTCATGTTTCACTTTTGTCGTTTAGTTTTATATTTTTTTCAATTTTATATTTCTCAAATTGCGTTACCAATCCGTCTGAAGGCTAAATTTTTTTGATAAAATGGCGAGCAATGTATTTCACTTTGGTCGTCTAATGTTCAATTGTTAAATTATATGCTACTCCAATTGCATCATCGCTCACCAATCTCAGTTTATCCTTCCTCAACACTTCCATTTATCTGCAAATTAATTTGAGGTATAATTATCAATGCATATGTGCTAAATTAGCCAAAATCTAAGAAAAAATGGATACGTAATTAAATCTTATGGGATATACAAATAAGATACGTTACAATATTCATCAGAAAAAATTCAATCAATAATAAAAAAAATGTTTACAAAACTAAAAAGTAAAAAAATAAAAAAAACGGTTAAACGACCAAAAGGGAAAATTTAGAGTGAAGCAAAGCCGCACAATTAAAACGAAAAACGTTTTAATCGACAAATTTGTAAATTAAAAATTTGGAAGATGCATGAAAAAGGAGCAAAAAATTTAAAAACTTACGGGTTCAGACAGCCTCCAACAATTGACGAATTTGTAAATTAAAAACTAAATCTTCAACGATCCAAGTGCGCATAAAAACAACATGTCTTTCCGGCCATGGTTGCGCAAGCGATTAATTCAGTGCCTGTATGAAACGTACAACAAGGGGAAGCACATGGCGAGACCAAAGACTAACACTTGGAATTGGCAGACAAGGTTTGGGGAGGTGGGGCCCACACTCAAGTGTGAAAAAGTTCAAAAATCTTGAGCAATAAAGATAAATTAAACTTTCTGCTTTGGACACCCTCGATGGAAACAGATTCGAAATTTGGAAGATATTACAACACAAGGGAAAATTGGACCCCACAAAAGATTATATTTTCAGGCCCACATAAGATCTCCCAAAATTTTCTCTGTGGGCCCCACCCACCCATAAAAGCCTTTTTCAAATTCACGTCCTGGCAGGCTGGCCCCCACCCTCTGCCCTCCTCTTTGGTGTATTGCGCAAGCTTTCATTATTCCAGTCCCATTTTCATGCCTTTGTAGCTACATAGGCATGAAAATTAATCTCATAGGAAATTTATATGTTATTTTTGTTTCTTCAGTTCGGATTGTAGACTGCAACTCGTCTACTTAAAGTTGAAATCGCTAGTAATCGTCAGTCATCTATATAGCGGTGAATTCGTTCTCATTACGGGAGTTTGTATTGCTTTACAACTCGTAATCAGATTATTTTTATTTTTTTAATTATTTATGCAATTCGAATTATGTTATGTACGAAACGTTTGACTGGAGAATCTGACTCTTTATCTTTAATTACAAATTTCTCACAAAGAACTTGTAATAATGGTTAAGAACATTTACTCCGACTTCAAGATTTTGTTTTTAAATTAACCTCTCCTTGCATATCATTTTCTTTAACTTAATGAGGTTAGAAATGTAACCAACACTTAGTATATATCATGAATTTAATAATTGACCAAGAACTTGCAAGTGGTCCTTTATAAGCGTACAGCATACTATTAATTGATTCATTTACTAAAATTGCAAATCAAGTTGTACAAATTAATAAAGTAATTAACTACGTTTAGGGTTAGGGTTTGCAATAACTCTGTTATGTGGTTGAATATCTCTATCCTCGATCTATTTTAGTATTATGTGGTCCCTTAATCCTTACATACGCATAATTTTATAGTAAGGTCGGATTTTGTGCAATCTTTTTTTGCCCTTAAACTTGAGTCTCAAGTATAGTGACACAGCAAACTGATCCGATTTGAGGATCCACATCTTCTCCCATGACCCTACCAAATTATTTGGCAGACTAAATGTACATAAACTGCAGAAAAAGAGATTCAAACTCGAATACAACTGATGGATCACACTGTTTTAGCCAACTTAGTTAAATATAAATGTGTTTAGTGAATCACATCCTATTTTTCCTACGCAAATAACTAGGCATGCATGCAGGATGGATAATAACTTATAAGTAACTTACCAACTGTTAGTTGAAAACAAAACCCTTTCCACAATTTTTTTTTTAGCAACCTGGATGTTACGATGGATACTTTATTTATAATTAAAGAAAAAAAACATGAGTATGAGTGAATACATGCCCCAATTACATTTATCATAAAAAAAAAATAAAAAAAATAAAATATCCTGAATAATATCAGACGATTCAGCACACGACTTCTCAAACCGTTGCAAATACTTCTCAAGATTTATAATTAGAAAGGAGAAAGAAAAGAGAAAAGCCAAATATAGCAACTTAGCAAGCAAAGCTAACCACATTTGTCTTAAGTCCCTAATTCAATCCAATTTTCACCCAAAATCAACTCCTTTTCATCATTATCTTGACCAAATGGGAAAAAGGATCTCCGGATTTCCCTTGGCAATCAAACAAAATCTCAACAAAGAAAATAAAGAAGATCTTGGAGAGAGAAATATGAGTGGTTGTACCAACGCGGTGTAGAGAATCTAGTGAGAGATCACAACAAGAGTAGTACACATGCATGACACATGATACACTATCAACGACATTTCTCTCCGTCTCTCTCTCACTATCTTGCAAAAACAGGTTTGGTCGCTCATTCTCTTCTCATCTAATATATAAACCCATGCACCTAATTGCTTAGAACACCTTGCTCCTGTGGAATAATTACACACCACCTCACACTCATCCATTCATTCATTTCCCCTAAGGCACGCCTATCTCTGTCTCTCTCTCTCTCTCTCTCTCTCTCTCTCAAAAATATAAAAGGTGCACATTGACATTGGTACAAAGAATATACAGCAGCAGCAGCAGCTCACAGAGATTTCTGTGTTCATCAGGCACTTGAAAAGGGTAAATTTTGAGTCATCCGTTAGTTTAACAATGGAGGTGGTAGTGAAGTCAGATGTTGCAGACTTCAAACAACAGCAGCAGCAGCCACAACAACATTTCCATGTATTGGCAGTGGATGATAGCATTTTGGACAGGAAGCTCTTGGAGAGGCTCCTCAGAGGCTCTTCTTATGAAGGTAAACCACTCCTAAACTTCTTAATTAATTAATACAGACCTAAGCGTAGCTAATTTGATTAGAGCAATATGTCTCTCTCTACCCCAAGTTCGACTTCCCCTCCCGTAATTTAGATGAATTCAGTGTATTCGTATAAAAGTTATTTAATTAATTGATTAATGACCTTCCTCTCCACACTCACATATTTTTGGGTTCTTAATTTTCTTTTTCATATAATTTTAAATATAATCAAAACTAAACAGATAGATAGGTATATATATATAGAGCCCATTTATTTTTTGGTTTCTTGGATGACCTTGCATCTAATTATTTGCTAGCTTGCTTTCTGGTAGTCTTATATTTTTAATCATCTGTGTTTTCATTTGTATATATTTTCTGTGGTAGCAGTGACTTGTGTGGACTCTGGGGATGAAGCACTAAAATATCTGGGTTTGCATGATGACCTAAACCAAAGTAGTACAACTTCCTCCTCATCCACTTCCCCTCAGTCATCAGATGTACTGGAGGTGAGATTTCATGATTATCCTTCCACACATTAGCAAAAATATATTATTACATTGTCCAGAATTTAGCCAAGTTGCAACTTAGAGTGGAATATCATGTATAGGAATATAATCTAGTGTAGAATTATCAGAAAGACAGGCCAAAGATCTACTTCCAACAACACAGATATTGTCCATTTGTCCCCAACTTTTTTTTTTTTTTCAAAAATATTGTCTTTAACTTGATAATTACCACCTACACAATCCGTCAGATGTGAGATTTTATCACAAAAGTTAGAGTGGGGTTACAGTGTTTAAATTCTTTTTTTTTTCATAAATACAGTTGATGTGGGATATTTCAACAGCTAATACTGAAATTTTGTGCATTAGGGCCTTTGAAATTAGGCCAAGTGGTAAGACAGTTAAGTCAAAAGTAGAAATTTGTTTAAACTGCACACAATATTGAAGAAGAGTTTACTTGTTCCCAAAATATAACAGACAGATAGATATAATATTGATTTTAGGTTTTAGAATTAAAGCTTAACATGTTCTGACGTTGATGAAGGTTTTAGTACTGATTTTTTAGGTTATTATCTATGTGGAAAATAAGGTTTTTAATTAATTTCTCAATTGAATGGAATGCAGGGAGCAAAAGTCATCAATTTGATCATGACAGACTTCTGTATGCCCGGAATGAGCGGCTATGATTTGCTGAAACGCGTCAAGGTCTTCCACCATTACCGACTTAATTACCATATATATACTTTCTTGTACTATTTTAAATTTTTTGTGAAAAGAAACCACTTGCACATGCTCAAGATCGAATAGAAAAGTTTTGAAGAAGAGTAATACAACGTGACCTGATCTTAGCCGTCCAAGCTTTGTGATTCTAACAAATATATATAACATTCTAAATTAACTCTAGCGTATGCACGATTGATGTTATCAATGTAGATTGAAATAGTCATTGTTTATTAATTAATTTCTAAATGTATGCAGGGATCTTCTTGGAAAGATGTACCAGTGGTGGTCATGTCATCAGAGAATGTTCCTTCTAGAATCAACATGTGAGCCAATTGCTATAATCATTTTCCTTTCTTTGTTATTATATATAGGAGCCTTTAAATGAAAGGATTTCAACTTGTCAAAAATCTGAGAAATAATTGTAGGGTCCACGTCACATTGAATGAGCTTATAGATCATACATATGTAATTGTTTTGTTTGGAAATAATGTGAGTGTGCATTAAATTATTAATTGCAGGTGCTTGGAAGAAGGGGCAGAGGAGTTTCTGTTGAAGCCACTCCAGTTTTCAGATTTGAAGAAGCTTCAGCCTTACCTGCTCAAATCCCTCCGTCGCTATTCTTCAATCGACAGCATTGACAACGGCGACGACGACAATGCCTCGGTGAAGGAGGAGGTTGGTGGTGGTGAGAATGACCAAACTGACCAAACCAAAAGCAGTACTGAGACTAATCATGCCAGGGGTAATACCGTCAACAACAATATTGTTGGTATTAGCAAGAGGAAGGCCCAAACAATACCAGAGAGATCAAGGCCCACGATGAAGGGATTAGCTGTTCTAGTATAATTAATCAAGATTAATCAGTTCTAAGTCAATACACATTTAATTTATTACTAGCGGTGAGTATGTTATACATACTGTAATCAGATTTTCCAAGGATTGAGTGTTTTATCACGCTCCCTCTTTTGAACATGTGGTTTGGTTTTGGCAAAAGAGGGGCGTCGATTCGATTATCTCGAGTTTCAATCCCATAAACTCTCGGAAGGGTTGTCCGAGCGTGTTTTGGTTTCAAACATTTCGCATCCATAAAGATCATCTCTATAAAAAATAATTAATTAAAACTTAGGTTGTTTAGCATTGGTTCTGTGTGTCTAAATAGAAAGCAACCGCAAGAAGGCAAGAAAGCATACACAATTGACTGGGAGAGATGATGAAAAATTACGGTAACTGGGATTCAGAGATATATAATTAACTTGAGCATTTGTAAATTAAACTCCTTCCGAGGGTTTCTTCTACATTAACAAAACTGCACATTGTAACACTTACTGCTATCCCTGAAACTAGTGTACGGACGACGAAAACACCTGCTTTATTCAAAGGGAAACCCAAAAACTAGGGAAGACATAACTACTGATAAGGAAGGAGGGATATGGGAGGTACGTCAGACATTGCTTCCCTTTATGCTCTACCGTTCTCAAAGAAAGAGTTTATATCTCGGCCACCATAATATCCAACTAGTCGCCTCAATGTCTCTCTTCTCCTTGTACAACTGGTTCAGGAAAAGAACATTTTGAGACCCAAGTCCGGACTAGCAACTTCATTCAATTTTTGAAGAATGTAACTATGCTTCAAGAACTTTGTCAAGCTGCGTAAACTAAATACAAAGCTATGGAACAGGCATTTACCTATTTAGAGCTCATCTTTTCCAGATTCTTGTTTCTCGGCCTCTACTTGTTTCTCAATTTTGTCCCGGTTCTTTTCAATGAAAGCAGCGATGGCTTCCTTAGTTCTATCTTCCTCATCATATGACAAGACCTTTCCACTTGCCGTCTTGAAGTACAGAGTCGGGTAGTATTTGACATCGAAGTCACTTGGTACATCATTTGCAGTGGCATCCTAAAAATGATAGCAATGAAGAACAATTAAGAAAAACTCCTTACAAACTAGAATGATCAGCATCTGTAGAAAAGGCTGATAAAGCAACTAGCAGGGTAATAAATCTTACAAATTTTGCAATAACAACATCGGAATCCTTTTCGTATGAGACTGCAACTTCATCCAAAATTGGCGCAAGCTTCTTGCAGTGTCCACACCAAGGAGCATAGAACTCCAGCAACACTGTAGAGTTAACAAAATCACATTATACAAACCAGTCCTGAGAGCAACCATGTGAAGACAACAGCGGAAAACATAAGAGTAGACACTAAGCGGCTATGTGAATTAAATATGTATCAAGTTTAATGGTCTGGCCCAAACAACCATCTGCCTTATTCGAATTTATATGATAACAGACCCTACCATTGTATACAATAACAACAAATAACTGAAGAAGGTGATGACAGAACGAAACACTTGGGATACCAGAAAGATGTGTGGTATAATTAACTCAAAAGCAACCTGTGGAATGCATCGAACCATAGATGATCCCAGCTTAACACTTCAATATAATAGGCAGTTTTTATGTTCTAATGTACATCAAACAATTTGCCCTTGGTCATAGAATAAGATGGTATTCGGAGAAAGTGTTTGTTCTGATCAAGGTATTGAGACTCAAAGGTCTTAAGAAAATCAAATAATTAACAGATAAGCAAAGAAATACTAGTAAGAAAAGACACTTAATAATACAATGCAAGAGTTTCTGTTTGCGCACCATTTTTCCCAGACTTGATGTACTCCTGGATGTTGTCAGCGACTACGACCTTGACAGGCTCATTGTTTGGCTCGGGAATAGGTTCAGACTTCTTGTATGGTGATACTTTCCCATCCTGCGGTTATGTAATTTAGTCAATACGTGTCAACAAATATAGCTTTAATCAAACTTCACTGCAATCAGGTTATAAAGAAAGAGGCAGAAGCCTCACCTTATATTCCATCACCCATGATGTGATGTGATCTGGCTGCAAATTTGGTTTCAAAAACTTTTGGCCATCAGGGGTCTGGATGATGATGAGAGGCACCTGGTCTTCTTTAAGTCCAAAATACTGTTCACAAAAACCGATAGAACATTTAACATGGTCTAAAATATACATGATAAAACGAATCTGGGAACATGAAGACAATTGCAAAGGGTAGTCCAAATGAGAACATTCTAACCTGGAAGGCGCCCTGACTAGCCTCAAGATCTCCAATGAGAAAGCTTATGCCTTCTTTCTTATATTTCTCAGCAACTTCACGATATGTTGATTTAAAAGCATCAGAAGACTCGCCACTGAAGTTCAGAAACAACATGGCCTACCAAGTTCAAAACTGGTGCATTAGAAGACTGCATCACTTATTTTGGAAAGAGAAAAAAGATTGAGATAGAGCATTAGGCTACAACAGAATTACAAGTGAACATGTCATGGCTTAACAGGACATACCAAAAGGAAAACAAAAACAAGCTACGATAGAGCATTCATCTACAATAAATATTTTTAGAAAAATACAGGAACATGTGGATAGAACTTGAGCGACATTGAAAGGGAGATCTGATAATGTAAAGAAAAAACATGATTTTTCGAACACGAATCAACAAGAAGCATCAACTTAATAATAAATAGATAAATAAATCCAAATCATGTCCATAGTATATACCTTCTCATTTGGATTGTTAAAGAATTTGACAACAAAAGGGTGATTGGTTGGGTCATTGTTGAATTCTGTAATAAGTGGCAAACTAGATTCTTCAACAAACTTCTCTAGAGCATCCACATGAAAATCCTGCAAGCATGATCACTTCGGTATTACATTTACTGTCCATAATACCTAAAACCAAAGCATGACAAACTGAATCCAAACAGGAAAAAGTGCAATATACCTCAAAATCAATAAAAAGTTCATCAAATGGCTTGAACAGCCTAACTACGGGTCCAGACACTGATGAATCACCACGAGGAAGGAGCTTAGCATCGAGAGTGTGACCAAATTCATAATCAGAACGCAATTTCTCAGCCAGAGCTGAGAAGTTATTATACACCTCTCCAGAGAACTCCTTGAACACACCAACCTACAAATATACGAAATGAGTAGTTATGCCATCTGATGCTCCTCAAAAGATTACATCGAGCTAGGAAACATAAACAGACATTGAACACTTACAATAACGATCTTCTTGTCGCCAACAAGAGTAGTTGCCTCATCAGTTGTCTTGATTTCGGCAGAAGCCGGACCACTCTGCTTCTTCAAATATTCAACAATACCCTCAGCTTCACGAGGACCCTTGTATTCTTGGATGGTCTTCCCACCATTTCTTAGAATCTTAATTGTGGGAAATCCCTTCACCTCGTAATCAGAAGCAAGTCCTTTGTTTGCCTCTTCATTGGCATCAACCTTTGCTAGAATGACTGGTGGGTCATTTTTACTCAAAATCGACGCAGCTTTTTCAAACTACCCAAACATCAAGCAAACTAAAATGTCAGAATAAGCAGAAGATACATGGTTTCTTAATTGAAATGCAGAATTGGTGAGAAATAAACATTCAACAGCTTAATTTCGTACCTCAGGAGCGAGCTTCTTGCAGTGGCCACACCTATAAGAAACATAGACAGCAAAATTAACACAACAATCTATCAGAAAAGTACCAATAAAAAAAAAATCAAATCGAAAACTGAAAAGCATATCGGTATCTCATTTCTTCAGCACAGATAAGCACTTTCCGCATGCATGTTGCTCCGATATATTTTTCGCAATTATAATCCGAAAATTCAATAATAAAACGCTAAATCGACCATCAAACCACTGCATGCAGATGCAGTAAGCTCCAAATTCACCAGCACAACACAAGAATTCACTTATATAACATCAATTTTCAACCGTGAAATCAAATCCATAGCAATTCCTCATAAATCGCCTAATCAAAAAAGTCGAAAACATGAATTCGGAAAAATTTCAGATCCAATCACAAAACGCCAAACACAAATCAAACGAAGCAAGAGAAACAACGAAGATCGATCAAATCATAATCAACGTAAACAGAATCAACGGTGAAAACTGAGCGCGATGCGAATTGCATACCAGGGGGCGTAGAACTCGACGACGATGAAGTCGTGCTTGCTGACAGTGTCATCGAAGTTGGAGCTGTCGAGAGTGAGGACGTACTCCTTCGATTCCGCCTCCTCTGCGCGGATCGCGGTGGCGAACACGGCGAGGAGCAGAAAGAAGCAGAGCGAAACCCTAGAAGACGACGCCATTTCCGTTTAGCCTTTTCTGAGGGCTGCTTTGGTCTATGGAGGTCTCTGAGAGTCACTTTCTGGGCGGAGGGGGATTAGATGGGGCGTGAAGTGAGAGAGAGAGAGAGAGAGAGAGAGAGAACGTGAGATCTCGGGTTAGAGAGAGAGCGAGACAAACATGGTAGTCACACGTGACAGTCTCTTGGATATTTTCCTTCTCTGTACTCACGCGTGTGGGTATATGGAGTGTGCACGCGCTACATGCCGTCAACTTAACACGTGGAGGACACTGACTGGTTAGACATTGTCACAGGGAATGCTAATTGGAATTTGACTCGCAAAGATGGCAAGTGCATCTCCTTTTTCAACCGGATTTGGTACGTAATTAAAAATGGTAAAGATGAAGAATTTCAAAGCTCTCGACCACTTAATCTAATAGCCTTAATAGAAAAGATTCGGAGCATAAAGATGCAGCCAGGTATACTGTAGTGACAAGATTCAACTAATAGAAATGGCACACGTCAGAGAGAATTCTAGGTCACGTGAGAACAAATAGACATGTTAAGTATTAAATTTGGGGAAGAGATCTCATCCAAATCTCTCCTATCAAATCCTAGAAATTTGAAGATCCGAATTCTTAAAATTTGATCCAACGACTAAAATTATTATAATTTTTAGAATGATCCCTACTTGTAACCTTTTAATTAAATTTCAAGGATTCGAATCTCTTAATTCCTAGGATTACCGAAAATTTTCGGGACGCGAATTTGAAGACCAATCCCAAACCAAATTTTCGGGAATCCCAAATTTCGGGAATCCCGAAATATTTTCGGGATTTTGGGACAAATCGGGAATCCCAAATTGAAATATGAAATTATGAATTGTTCTTCAAATATATAATTCAAGAACACATTCATGAACTAGGA